AAGAACTTAAGTCTACAATATACTAGATTCCCAACAATATTAGAAAGATTTACAAATGCTAGTTGGATATCTAGTACGGGAGAAAGTAAATCTACTTCAGGTTTGGTGTTAATGCTTGGAGAAGGAGCTGTTTCTTGGAAATGAAAAAACAAACATGTATAACACACTTGACTATGAAATTCGAATTCGTAGCATTATTAGAAATTGGGAAAGATATTGAGTAGCTTAAGGATCTACTATATGAGATACATTTGGGATCAAAAAGCACATCTTCAATAACCATCTTGTGTGATGGTCAAGCCATGTTAGCAAAAGCATAAAATGAAGTATACAATGGAAAATCTAGACATATGAGTTTGAGACATGACTGCATAGAGAAATTAATCAAAAGTGGAATAATTTCCCTGAATTATGTTAAGTCAATTGAGAATTTAGCGGATCCTTTAGCTAAACCTCTAAATAGAGATTTAGTGACGTTTTACTTCGAGTAGAATGAGGTTAAAACTTTTGAAATAAAAGGTCTACCAATAATAGCAACCCTACTTTTCATGACTTAACAAGTAATTTACGGGTTTAAAGGGTAACAACAAATTATTCAAATTTCGTATAGTTTCAGCATTATAGAATTCGCAATATCCCTATTCTAATTAAATAAGGCTAGTTGTTACTGAAATGAGGGTTGAGTTTGAAACTCTTAATAAAATTCAGTACTAAGTACAAGTATCTCTAAGGATGTGTTTGATTGCAAATATGAAACTTGTATGGAAAGAAAGGTAATTCAATTGCCTAGAACTTATTTATATAGAAATTGTCAATTAAATATGTTTGATTGATTTAATTTCAACATAGAAAATATAATACTTGTCCGATTTTTATTGGTGAGCAGATGAGAAAGAGAAATAAATAGTGAATTCCCTGAAAAATAAAATCCCCCTAAAAACAATATTTTCCTTGATTTTGAGGAAAATATGGTTAAATGATCAAAAGTAAAAAAATATTTTCCATGGAAAAAATATCAGTCAAACGATACAAAAATAGGAATTTGGGTTGAAAAAATACATTTTCCGTAGAAAATATTGGCAATCAAACATACTCGAAAAGTAACAAAGATACTGTAAGAACTTCACCTAGATAAATTTCGAGGTGGTGCTACTTCAATAGAGAGTTAGAGTTTATCTCTTAAAAGTTTGTGAAAAAGAATAAGCGCAAAGCCATATTAGCGATAAGCGAGTTTGAGAAACTTAAAAACACATGATACTTATGCGTGTTTTCTTACTGGTATTGTTATAAGGAATAATTGGTTTAAAACTTCAATGCCACCTTTGATTCCAACATTACTTTGTTTGGATTACACTATAGTTAAATTCAAATCGAAAGATATCTAATTCTGATGCGTGAGTATTTTATACTTTTGAATATGAGGGTTTTATTAAATTTTGAATAAGTGGGGAATTGTTGTATGATTGTTTGAAATCAATAAAACGAGACGTGCATGGAAGGGAAATGGAACCGAAGGCAAAACCATATATCTATACGACCGCATAGGCCATTACGACCTGTGGTTGCATACTCACTTGTAGGGCATAAAGGCCTTGCCACAATATTAACTATGCAGTCATATAGGATTGGCCAATGCGATTGCATAGTGTTCAAAAAATGGCAATTTATGCCCATCGTTTGAATTTTGGTGGCTCTTCAACCTATTTTGGCCCTTCGTGGTATCTTGATGAGGCCTATAAATCGATGATTGACATTTATAACAACACACAAGAAAAACAAATTTTGAAAATTACATTCCCATTCCACAAAGATCATCCATCTCCTTCTTCATATTCAGTCCTCTCTTTTGCATTCTTAAGTTTTGGAGGGTTTCACTTAATGTTTGAGTGATTAATCCTTTTCAAGGGTTGATAATTCTTGCAAATCATTTGCCAAGTATCATTTTAAACATCTTATTCAATCTGAAGTCGGTAAATATCGTTTGAGGACAACGATTGCGTGTTAGGACCTTCTTCATCTTTTCGTTATTTTCCTAGATTTCTTAGTTTTGTAGTTCGTTTCCTCACAATTCCCTTTCTTGTGTAAACATATTTCAAACACAGATTCGATAATACTAAATAATAAATTATTACTGTCACTTGTAATATCATGTTGTTCAAAGTGAATCCGACTTTGCAATCCTTTCTTTCCTTGCATGTGCAACAACGTGTCTATTTTCGACCAAAACCCTTCACTTCTGCACATACAGTTCACCAAACTGGAAAATGCATTGAATTAGGTTTTACATTTTTTCGTAGAAAAAAATAAATTAATCATTAATAATACTTAACATGACTTATTAATATCTTTAACATGTTAAAAGCTCATGGCATAAGAATAATTTTATGGACGATTGTATCCGAATTTTTAAATTATTTCAATAGTATCTTTTTATTTATTTAGCTCAATGATATGTAAATTCATACTTTTATTGAAGGATTAATTATATCTATACTCTGCATTTATTATCTTCCAATGAATTTTGAATAAGAAGATGCATGTAAGATTAGGTTATGATTCATATCACATGCTAAATGCATAAATCATGTGATACACGTGTATGTATAGATTTATACACATTATATCTTCTTCCCAATTTTTAGCTTCCAACTATGCAATTTTTTATGTTTCTCTTTATGTATTTAATGGATGCCCAAGTGTGAATTAAAAATAATTGTTGTTGATGGTCAATCTATTCAATTGATAATTTATACATTGTTCGATATATTTTATTAGTAATATTATGGATAATGAGAGACATGTCAATTAAATTATTAGTTATATATATTGTTTAATAAAATACGATAACTATGGTATAAACAAATAATAAATTAGAATAATTTAGTAGATATTTAACTATTTAAATAGTGAATTGTTTTTTTGCCTTTTCATCATATTAACAACTTTGACGAGATCATTTTTGCCTTCTTCATTTTTGTCATCATGCTCATCAACCTTGACGAAATTAACGCAGACATAAAAGTTTAACTAGTAAAAAGTTAACATGTACGAGAAAAGCAATAAGGGCAATGAGAATGTTACAATTTGACTCTCTATTTGGCTAATAAATAAAAGAAATTTCTTCTAATATAATAAATATTTCTCATTTTCTCCTTAGAAAATGAGACGAAGAAAGGGTATAGTAGATTACGCTACTAAAGATTAGTGTTCTAAAAGTCCATCTAGACATGTCCAGGCTCAAGCTTGGAGAAAATGCTCTGCTTTGTGCCCAGACGGGAAATAGACGGTCAAATCTACTTTGATCATCTAAGGTGCTCACTTTTTTCCAGATAAATGATGTTTGCTAAAATTTAAAAGGAAATAAGTTCAATAAAAAAAAAAAAAAACTCACCCTATTTCGAACTCAGCATACGGATGTAACTTTCTTTTTCCACAAATAATTTATTATTGATTTGAAAAATTATGTTTTTATTGCCTACCCGAAAAATATGTATTAAGCTCCTCTAAATTTTCTAGTTACACGTTATTTCATTTATAGAATGATAGACAACAATTATACAAATTTAAAATAGAAAAATACTTTATTACGGATAGGTTTGGTAAAATTTGATACTTGATTCCCACAACTTGTCACACCTTACACTATAAAATCTTGCTAAAGATGATGCAAAAGTTAAAGCCAAAAAGTTTATGCATAAAATGATATTAAGCACTTGTTTGTTTCGGATTAAAATCTCAATTCAAAGTTAACATTAAATTTTAATCACATATTTCACGGGATTTACAACTTTTCAACCACACATTTTAAAAACTTTTATCAAAAATATAATTTTAATCCCCGCCAAATACCCTCTAAGTGTTTTCATGAAAGTGATTATTTGAAAAATAATTTTCTTTTGGATGGTGTGTGATTTAAAAGTAGAGCAAAATTATGAAAATATTTTAAAATAATCGTTTAAAAAATATATGATTCGAATGAGTGCCAAAAATGTAAATTTCAAAATAATCACTTTTAAACGAGCTTAATAATTTCCAAAACTTGAGGACCTCGAAACATGGATAACATTTCGCAATCATCATAAAATAGGCCATTCAAAGTTGTAACCAGCTCCCCATTCCGCGGCATGTTTGACTAAAGTTATATTTAATTTTAAGATTTTGTAAAGAATATTTGGATATATTTTCTTAAAGTAAACTTACATATTTCAACGAAATATAATTAACTACTTATAAGAAATCATTTTTAAGCTCAGCCAAACATTTTTTGCAGGAATAATAACATCTAGCGCTACTTGTAATGCAATATCAATCTAGGTGAAGCTACATAATGAACTCAATAAAAAATCGAATATGCTTAATATTATATAAATTAACATTGTAATAATATCATTGGTCTTAAATATAATTACTAATTTTGTATTTTCACTAAAGCAAAATAAGAAAATAAGATAAAAGAAATACATAGCTTGCTAATGGCTTTTACATCATCTCGAGTTAAATGTTCCTATGGTCACTGAATTTAGGTCTATATTTTTTATTGATCATTGAAGTTTAAAATGTCAAGTTTTGATCATTGAACTTAAGTCAATGTTTTCGATTGCTCATTGAACTTAGGTCCATGTCTTAGATTGCTCACTGAAATTTAAAATGTCGAGTTTTGACCACTAAACTTTGAAATATATCGTACGTTATTTACTAGTATAACTGTTGAATTTTAAAAAAATATCGAGTTTACAGTGAGTAATGTACAACATTTTTCAAAGTTCAGTGAGTAATGTATAATATTTTTTAATGTTCATTAGTCAAAACTCGACATTTTAAAATTCAGTGAACAATTGAAAATATAGACCTAAATTCAGTTATCAAAACTCGATATTTTAAACTTTAATGACCAATTAAAAACATGAAGTTAAATTTAGTGATCATTGCAACAATTAACTCCATCATCTCACTTTCAACAGGTTAGTTAAGTGGAAACTACACTTTCACCTACCCCCGTCCTCTTGCTGCACACATTAAAAAAGAACTAAAAAATAAACCAAGATTTCTACTTCCATCAAACAAGAAACACTATTTGTTTCTTCCAAACTGAACAAGTTTTTGCATATATTCAGGAACCCGCTCTGTTTTTATTTAAGTTTCTTGTAATTACAATACTAAATATTCAATCTTTTTTGTTGGAGATTGTGAAGAAGAGAAGAAAAAGAGGTGTGATTATGGGGATATTGTCTGATGATTCGGTGTTAATTAGCCATTCAGAGAAAGAAGGGGAACCCAGTGTAATTACTGTCAATTGTCCAGACAAGACTGGTTTGGGCTGTGATCTTTGTCGCATAATTCTCTTCTTTGGCCTCTCTGTTGTTCGAGTTGGTATGTAATTCATCTGAATATATGAATTTTACAATTGCGCGTGGCAAATTGCGATATTAGCCTTATTGATAACACTGTAACATTAACTATTTAACACTGTATATGCGCACCTTCTTGATAATTACTGATAGATGAATTGATGAAGAGTTTTGCAAAATCCCTTGGAATAATTGTGGTTCTTGAAAATTTTCTTCATGTTTCTGTTTTCTTTTTAAATCGTGATTTGCTTAGATGGTCAATTAAGGTTCTTCATCTATAGATTATAATGGATTGTTATTGTAAATTGAGGATGAACATACAAGAGCTCCATGGTTCTCTTTTATTTTCTTCTTTTTTTCCCCTTTTTTGTTAATTTTTTTTTCAAGAAAAAAGATTTGACAATTTAGAATCATAGGTGTTAGAAATTGTTCTCTCTGAAAATATTATTATAGTTTTGTGATTTTTTTCCCCATTTCATCCTCTTGCATAAAATGCTGTGAATGAAGATGTATCTACGGATGGGAAATGGTGCTACATAGTGTTTTGGGTTGTGAGCAAACCGAGTACAAGATGGGGTTTGTTGAAAAAGAGATTGATGGAGGCATGCCCTTCTTGTTCTTCAGCTTCTGGAATTTCATATTACTGGGCTGAATTGCAGCCGCCAACGCCTCCTGATGTGTTCCTCTTGAAGCTCTCTTGCCATGACAGAAGGGGCCTTTTACATGGTAATTGCTATATTCCACAGCTCATACTCTTGTCGGTAGTTGTTTCTGATTTGATTGTGACAGTATTTATGAAATTTAGCACTTATGAACGCTAAAACTCATCTTAGGTTCTTTCTCTAGTATAATTCATAAAAAGATAAGGAGTCTTGATTTTAAAATTTGGACATTAGAGTTTTAAGTCTCATTGTGGTAATACTAATTTACTCCTTGGTCACTTCTCCCCCTTCTCAAATTTTCTAGAGGTATATCCAGCAGTTGTTAATTTATCCACCTTCCTTCACTATATCCGCCAGTTGTTAGAAGTATCTTGACCGGGGAGAATATCTGAGTTAGATCCATTAGTTGAATTATGGAAAATTTTTTGGCAGACGTGACAGAGGTTCTTTGCGAGCTTGAGCTTACAATAAAGCGAGTTAAGATATCAACCACTCCAGATGGGAAAGTTTTGGATCTCTTCTTCATAACTGACACAAGGTTCTTTATCCTTCCTGCTCTTATTTTCTTGTTTGTGCACCTCTTTCAAACATAGATTTCAATAATCTAGTTGTATTTTCATTCAATTATCCATGGCATATTTGAGGGATGTTCATATGTTTCAAGTAACCCGTATAAGTGGTAAAGAGAGCCTTTTACATATGCTTATTAGTGAATGTCGGTCCCCACCCTACAACACGTGCTCACTCTTACTTAAGAAAACAAGAGGAAAAGTAAAATAGCAGAATCAACTGAGATCATTCTGCTGCTGGCTTCTCAGCATTTTTCACTATTATTTTTGGTCTTTGGTTCAAAAACTTATAATGCTTCTCAAAATTTTCAGGGAACTTTTACATACTACGGCAAGACAGAAAGACACATATGACCATTTAAAAGCTGTTCTAGGCGATGATATGATTGCTTGTGACATAGAGATTGTGGGTCCTGAAATTACTGCATGTTCACAAGAATCCTCATTTCTTCCTGATGCAATTACGGAAGACATGTTCAATGCCGAAATAAATGATGAACACAAAAATGGATCCATGTCCTTCGAAAGTCCATCTATCATGATTGATAACTCGTTGAGTCCTGCTCACACACTTGTCCAGATTATTTGCCGGGATCACAAAGGTCTCCTGTATGGTATAATGAGAACTCTCAAGGATTATAACATCCAGGTATTTACTTCTCCCTGTTCCCTTTTATTTTCTTTCCTGTTCAACTATTTACTACTTGATATATCTTTTCTATGAGGAACCTGCAAAGATTTCATTCCAGGGCATTGTCTTAAATTGAAGTACCTGATTTGATTACATTATTGTTTATACTAGATTTCTTATGGACGCTTCTCAACTAAAGGTAAACTATACTGCGAGCTAGACTTGTTTATCATGCTAGCAGATGGTAAGAAAATAGTTGATCCCAGCAAACAGAATGCATTACTCTCCCGTCTTCAAGTAGAACTTACTCGTCCTCTCAGAGTAGCACTGGTCAGCCGTGGCCCTGATACTGAGCTGGTAGTTGCAAACCCTGTCGAGTTATCTGGCAAGGGTCGTCCCCTGGTTTTCTATGACATAACTCTTGCTCTCAAGATGCTCAACAAAGCAATCTTTTTGGTATGTTCCTATAGGCATACTTTAGTAGTTTCAGATTAGACGAATTTATTATGCTTCTCTTTCTCCCTTCTCACATTAAGCATAGAAGCATCTTCTGAAGTGTGACTATTACAGTGTCCAATATCCACAGATGGTCATTTAGTGTCCATTATCTGTATTGATAGTACATCTCAGTTGTTGTATGTTTATATCTGTTTTGTAGCTCGTGAAAAGGAATATTTTTTTCTGGGTCATGCAAGTAATAATGATCTGAGTCATTTTCAATGTATCACTTCGTAATTTTCTTTTCAAATGATTAATGATCAGATCTGATTATCTTTTCAGGCCGAAATTGGGAGGTACATGATTGGAGATCGGGAATGTGAAGTTTACAGAGTTTTACTCGAAGAGGGGGATGGTTTTACTGCCACAAGGAAACAGATACAGGAGGCTGTTTGGAAGATGTTGATGGGTTGGGAGTTATAATGGTTAAATGTAAATTTTGCTGGGTTGTGATGGCACCTCGGCCTGTATATGGTTATTATACTTTGACCTCGATCAGCTTCTATAATGTACATATATTTACTTTTTATGTATGTGGTAAAAAGTTTAGCTTTTTACAAGTTTTACTTCTGTATGGCTGATTTTTAGAGAACAAAAAAGCAAATATCTGATGAAAAGATGAAAAAGGTAAGTAACATTCTTTCCAACTGTACGTGAGGATGCTTCTTTATTGTAACATTTGATGCTAGAGCTGTAATACATAATAAGTTGTATGCTATATTTTCTTAAAAGCTGTAATACATAACATGTGTTATATCTTTACTGTTTGGCTGCATTTTACTTACTTTTCTATCAGCAAATTTTATGTTCACATGGTTATATATTAGAATTTGTTCCTTCTTGTCCAACTTAATTATCGTGCATCCATTTCATCGATGTTTTAGGACAAGGCATAAGTATGAAGTAGAACGTAAGATGCTATTTGACAACAATGTCTTCAGGTACATGAGAAAAGGCCAAAGAATCTTTAAATTTCGATTGATCCTTTAAAGTGTATTAATCTACTTTTGCTACAATGCCGTAGAAATTCCCTCCTATAATTTCCAGTATATTCCCAGTTTGTGTAAGATTCCAGCAACCACACTCCAGAAGGTGATTTCAGCGAATATTACATATAATAGAGTCCCTACTTTTTCAGATTTCCAAACATCATTGAAAATATGCTGTTGAATCCAGTTGACCTGAAAATATTAACAATTTTCAGTTTGTGTTGTGAAATGTTCAGTTTATATGATATCTTAAGGAACTTAATTTCGCACTTACTAGATTGCTGTCTCGATTCTTGTAATACCATCCATTTATGAAAGCTGCAAAAATTCCCTGAGCTGCCATTACAAAAACCAGCATTGCGTTCATCCCTATCCATTCCAGGAACAAGAACGGCGTACGCAGTCCCCAGACATCGATCTGTAAGGCATGGGAAGCACAATCGTTTCAGATTTTCGTAGTGTGCTTTCTTTGTTAGGTAAGGATGAATACTTTTACTTTTCTCTTTCATTGGGAAGGATCAGGTGGAGGCTTTACCAGTATGTAGAACCCTGAAAATACAATTCCAGCTGCACCAGCTGTGAAACAAACATAGCTGTAGCTGTATAGCTGCTTGTTGATAGGAATAGCTGCAAAAAAAGTGAAAATGTGTTCTTATTTCCTGGAATGCTTCTTTTAATTGGAAACAATCATGAGTTACTTATGTGATGAAGTGGTCACCATCTGTAAAATGGAGAATAACTGCTACAGTAAGTAAAACAAGCGCCATTGAAACCCAGTGCTTGAGCCTTTCAGCATGCTCCTGCAAGAAGTATTTAATTCCACTGTGAATAATACATTGCTTTCTGAGTTTGATCCTTTTAGTTTATTTTAAATAATTTGAACTAATGATGCAGAAGATGAATTTACCTTAAAATGAATTAATACATGTCCATAGTGAATGCCAATTGTTCCAGAAAGGATGGCTGAAATTGAGCTGAAAACAAATCCAAGCATGCATAGTTTGCCAAAACAAGTATATTTCTTTTGAGAAAACGAAAAAGAAGAAGATATGTAGGGCATTATTGCTGCACAATATTGGACAAGACTAACTAGTACAATGAATTTCAACTTTTTTGGAGATTCGGGTCGTAGTCGAGATTAGACGAACTTTTCTCGCTCTCAAAGTTCAGGTCATGATACCCTTTTGTTGTCAAATTTGTAAACTATCTAACAACCACACAACCGTGACGTGGGTAAAAATGAAATAGAAGAAGATATATAGGTTATCATTGGTACACAATATTGGATGAGACTGACTAGTATAATGAATAAGATTAACTCTTCTATCAGAGATAATACCGTTCATCAACAACACCGTATAGCAAATATGTCCATATAGTAACTATGATGGTCGAAAGGCGAACCTCAACAGGCCTTCGGGTTCAAATGGACCACGGCACCAACTTGGTGCATCCTTGCGAAGTGGCCCAGAATCAGGTGAACTAAAGGTGCAAGCCTGGACATTGCTCAACATCAACATATGAAATAAAAATCACAGAACAAGCTTACTGTGAATTATAGTATATGAATTTCTGTGATGTGATCATTTTGACCTTTAATCTTGACCAAACGGGTTGTGTGTAGAGGTGATTAATACCCCAGACTTGTCTATCCACATAGCCAACTGCATTGCAGGCAGGTCCAAAATGTCCTCTCATACCACATTTTACCTGAAATAAATTAAGCTAAAAATTGAGCCTGATTTTCTTGGTTGTAACCAATTATTACTGCATCAGCAGGGGAAAGAAAAAAAGAGGCCATTTTATTACAGTGTATTTTTCGGCTCTATGCTCATGGTGCAAGACGAAACTCCAGTCAGGAACATATAAAGAGAATGCTGTGACCATGTATATTACAAATGCGACAAACCCTCCAAACCTGCAATTATTTTACATCAGTTAGCCGTCCTGATTTTGGCCTTACAAGGCAAGTGATTTATGTTTGGTACACAATATTGAACAAGATGAGATAATGCAACGAGTACTTACCATTGCCATTTGTAGGCAGTGAAAATGGAGAAATAACCGGGTTTTAAAATGGTTGGTCTAAGCTTGGTGGTGAGCGTCTCTATAATAGCCACAACAAAGTATACCAAAGCTATTCTCTGCTTGTACATAAAATAAATGATGTTAAGCAGAGAGACGGTCCAGCTTTCTTTTATCGAACACTTTCAGATGAAAGTTGACTTATTTTCTCATAAAATGAGTCAATTTACTCTAAATTTCAATAGGAGAATGAGAAATTATCACCTGGAGGATGCCACACCATCTGATTTGCTTCATGTCAACTCCATAGGACAGATTGTCTGGTGCATGCGAATATCCTCCTGTGATATGAAAACTTATCACCCAAACATGCCATCATAGTCGCAGGAATGTTTCACCCGAAATGTAAAATAACGAAGTCTAGAGATATACAGATATTTTTACTAGATCGAAGATGAATATACATTATACCTTGCAGTATAATTCCCCAAAAGAGAAGCTTCAATGTTCTTGAGATTATCTTTCTAATAGCAGACTTGACCTTTGGAATTTTCTGCGACAACAATAGATGATCGAAGTCATCTTCATGATTATAGGTTCATGCCATAACGAAACAGACCAGACCGGAATAGGGTTATATACATTCTCAAGGGGTCATTTGAGCATCTCTAAATAGATACTATTCCATTCCATTTAGGATTAGGCGTTTCTTGCACAAATGCAAAATGTCAAGAACACGGGAAAATCAGGATAAAGTAAGGCCGTACCTTTAGGGCGAGCGCTATTGCAACGCCAACAATGAAGAGGAAAAACGGCATTACAAAATCAGCCAATGTGCATCCATTCCATGGAGAATGATCAATCCGTGAATATGCTCCTCCAGCATCATCCACGAGTATCATCAACTGCTTGCGTAAAATTGCTAGTTAAAACGTAGAAATTCAAGTATAGTTGTAAACAAACATGTATGTACTAGATTGGCATTAGTTAACTAGCCATTTACCACTATTGTGAGTCCTCTAAATGCATCCAAAGTTGCAACCCTCTTAGTCTTTTGCTTTATTAGCGGTTGCTCCTCCTTCAGTTTCTCAGGCTGGTCAGTTTTTGCCACGCTCTTTTCCTCGTTTTCATTGCTCGGGTGAATGCCGATGCCATCTTTCTTACCTTGACGACTAGTGCTTTTGTTATTATTATCCTCTTCGACTATAGGTTGTGTACCTGTGCCTAACCCTTCTTCCAACCTCTTTTCAATTGGATTCTCCATTGAAATTTAGAATCTCTTTGTTAGTACATTGCAAATTCTTCTATCACTATATAAAGAATTTAAAACTGATAAATTAAGAGAGGGAGATGGAGAAAGACAATAATAAAATCAAACGCCGGCCATAGTTGGAAATTGACTTGGATGAGTAGGTCCCTTGAGGAAGATTAAGAATTCAAATTTGGAAGATTATTATACTCGGACAAATCAAGGGCAAACATTAGAAAGACAGATAACTTACAAGTCCATATGATCATTGTGGCTGTCCTATACTTGTCCGCCCCAGCTTCCCTGCACCGTTCCTGTCCTATAATTCTAAACAGTTAAAATCTTGTTCATCATACTATACAGCGCATCCTAATACTCTATATTCACTAATTTGATGAGTACGATGTTAGAGTACGGCGACCCCAATTGTGTTTGATCTGGCCCAAAAATTTTGCGAACCTATTTTATTATATATATGATGTAGGGTTTCATAATATCATATCATTTGGAGTAGCTGGGCCTCTTGTAATCATCTTTGATATTGCGAATTTTCTCCTCCTGTGCCATAGTTTTTTTCGTGTCTTAGGTTCCCACTTAAATCTTGTGTTCATGTTATTAATTTAAGTTGCCTATTCTCGTTTTTGCGTGACATATGATTTCAATTAACACAGCCGGCTAATTGCAAAATATACTCCTTAGACTGAGAGTGAGACTTATCAAATATTTAAGTGCTGGCATTATACACTTGACAGTTTCAAACTTGTCCATTAAAATATAGCAAAAATGCAGTTCATAATGCCAACCCACACTGTACACTTGGTGTTTGCTGGATTTTTTTGACACTAGTTTGGAGCTGGCCGTCTTACACAAGAACAGGTTGAAAACAAAACACAAGAATAATGTTGCATCAGAAAGCAAAACATAAGCATATGCGTCCTGAATTTTATTTTTATTTTGGTTCTGAGGTTAACCAAGTTGTGTCTGACTACAAATCTAAACCAGATTGTAACAAAGTTTAAATTCAGTGATTAGTAATTTTTTAAAAAAATAAATAGTAGTGAACAAAGTGAAATTTTGCTAGTAACTGGTATTTTGACCTCAGAGTGAGCTTCATCTGAAAGGAGTAACTTGGGATAGCAAGTGTGCAGTTAAATATTCATTCAAAGAAAAAAAGCAGCCTAATTGATGTGTATATATGTGATATTGATGGTGTAAAATAGTAAAATTGCAGCTGAATTGATAATTAGGACAGAATAAAAACAATTTTTCCTCTTGAAATGCACCATACAAAGAAGAAAAAGACAAAT